TGGCCTCCACCCTACTAGCAATGACCTTCAACCTACTAGCGATGGCCCCCACCCTACTAGCGATGACCTCCAACCTACTAGCGATGGCCTCCACCCTACTAGCGATGGCCTCCACCCTACTAGCAATGATAATGACCTTCAACCTACTAGCGATGGCCTCCAACCTTAATAGCGATGGCCTCCACCCTACTAGCGATGACCTCCAACCTACTAGCGATGGCCCCCACCCTACTAGCGATGACCTCCAACCTACTAGCAATGGCCTCCACCCTACTAGTCATGGCCTCCACCCTACTAGCGATGGCCTCCACCCTACTAGCGATAGCCTTCACCCTACTAGCGATGGCCTCCAACCTATACTAGCGATGGCCTCCACCCTACTAGTCATGGCCTCCACCCTACTAGCAATGACCTTCAACCTACTAGCGATGGCCTCCAACCTACTAGCGATGATCCTCCACCCTACTAGCGATAGCCTTCACCCTACTAGCGATGGCCTCCACCCTACTAGCGATGGCCTCCACCCTACTAGCGATGGCCCTCACCCTACTAGCGATAGCCTTCACCCTACCCTACTAGCGATGGCCTCCACCCTACTAGCGATGGCCTCCAACCTACTATCGATGACCTCCAACCTAATAGCGATGGCCTCCACCCTACTAGTCATGGCCTCCACCCTACTAGCAATGACCTTCAACCTACTAGCGATGGCCTCCAACCTTAATAGCGATGGCCTCCACCCTACTAGCGATGGCCTCCACCCTACTAGCGATAGCCTTCACCCTACTAGCGATGGCCTCCACCCTACTAGCGATGACCTCCAACCTACTAGCGATGGCCTCCACCCTACTAGTCATGGCCTCCACCCTACGAGCAATGACCTTCAACCTACTAGCGATGGCCTCCAACCTTAATAGCGATGGCCTCCACCCTAGGCCTCCACCCTACTAGCGATAGCCTTCACCTACTAGCGATGGCCTCCACCCTACTAGCGATGGCCTCCACCCTACTAGCGATGGCCCCCACCCTACTAGCGATGACCTCCAACCTACTAGCGATGGCCTCCACCCTACTAGTCATGGCCTCCACCCTACTAGTCATGGCCTCCACCCTACTAGCAATGACCTCCACCCTAAGCACAGAGAAAAACGGCAGCCGCCACGGAAGAGATACATTCTCTGGCTTGCGCAGTGTCAACAATGTATATGAATGAGGGGAGTCCACGTGGTTTATAAAGCGTATAAAGCACGAAGATAGGTCATGTTGGCACCAAATATGGAAGAGATCCACACGGACCAAGTCCAGGTTGACCGATTTTTGAGGCGGTCTGGGCTTTTGATGAACCACCCCTTGCAGGTCCTGGTACATGTTCTATTATACCAGCTATCAGGATTAAGAATTGAGTGGTGGATTTGGATATTTTGAGATCCCTATATAGCAGGCAAAATGACCCTGTCCAAACAGACATTGATGTTCAGTTGAGTTCTTTTGGAAAGAAAGGGACCCCGAGACCCCAATCTGTGAGTCCCTTTTGGCTCGGTTCGGAGATGCCTGTTTGGACACGGAAGACTGTGTTGATTTCTGAGCGACTTCGTTCTCCATAGACCTTTGTGTTGCCGACAAAACATGTGCCATCCCTTTGGCATAGGTTCGTTTTGTGCCATGCAAGCTGTAAGCCATGCCCTCTTTGCAGAGCACAGATGCCAAACTGGAATTTCTGACTCTTTGATATTCAACTATATTCAAGACACGCAAACACTAGCAGAAGACCTGAACATGGACCGTCAATGACCATCACTTGTCCTACCAGAATAGCTCTACATCTCCCTATGTGGGGGTTTGATCAACCACATTCTACATTAGTTGTATCACATGCTTTTGGCACATCATCAGCTGTGTCCTTTGGCGAGGTAGAGGACTTTTGTCCGAGGTGGCCCATTGGTCTTTGCGCGTCAGCGTCGGCGGCGCGCGCCGTTTGGTCCTCTGGTTGGGTGGCGGCGTTCTGGGCGCAGACGGCCCAAACTGGGTGATTTTGCGTGCTGATGAGTTGCATGTGCCATTCATCGCGGTTATGTGTAGGCAGCCCCTTACTAAGCATCATCCACGTTGAAAAGACAAGTCCAACATAGAATTATATATCCCTTCGAGTTCCAATGAGCTTTGACAAATTCGACCCGGAATCGTGTTTGAGGCATTGAGGCTTCTTTAGGCATGCTTGGGGGGAGTCTGCAGGATGAACACCCTCTCCCGAACCTCCTATCCTATTCTTACTCGCACCTCATTGCATTGTTCGGGTTCTGGACGAACATGGTCTCCATTTTCAGGGGGCCCAGGCATGCTGCGCCACACGCATTGTCAGAGACACGGCTCACAAGACTCTCACAGAAAATGGATGAAAGTGGCCCATTTTGGGCTCGGCGTTGTCGTTTTTTCTCCTAGACATGGTTCTTCTCAGTGAATTCAGTCTATCCGAAGGGTTGCTGACTCAGCCCTGCCGTGCAGTGAGCGATCTGGCTTGCCCAGGCACGGAACTTACGGAAAGGGATGGAAAGGGGAAGAGGGGCACTCACTAGTCGCCAGTGGTTTTGGTCCTATACTTGTGTATCTTGAAAAGGATGGATGCCTTGCTACTCATTGACGGGTTGATGGGTTGGCTCTAGTTGGTGGCTATATATAGATACGTAACTGCGGCTGTTTGAGGATTTTCCGAGGCCACAGACGTGATACAAATGCCATGATCAAAGCTCGCAATTAAGAGAAGAACAGTTGAACAGTGTGCGTACTGTGAGCAGATTTGCCAATACACCAGTTAGAATCCCAATGAATATCACATTCTTATTCCTCTTGGGGTCTCAACGATGGACTTCCGTGACTGCTCATCAGGACCAAAAGGAGTTCGACCGCATGACCTGATGTCGCCCATGCCCTGCCGAGGGGCTGTGCGACCCAGGTATTTTGGCATTTTCGTAGACTAATATGGTACTGGTAGTGACTAAAGAATTGTACTCAAGTCACTATACCATCATTGTAAAATTGACATCGAGTGGGAAAAAACATGTATCAAATTGTATCAACATATTTAAAAGCAATAGAAACACTATGATATTATATCGTGTCTATATGTTTCTAAATGTTCTCTTTTTTAAAATATATAATATATACATGAGTATGTTTTGCCCTACTTGATTTCTAATTTTACAATGATGGTCTGGTGACATAAGCAACTTTCCCGGCGATGTCGTTTTGAAGTAAGGTAGAGGTCTCCTAAAGGCGATTCCCCAATTCCCCCCTCAGGGGATCTCCCCAGGGGGCGACGAACGAGCGCAGTCCTTACTTCGGGCGCCCGCGCGCGTGGGGAGGAGTCTCAGCGCAAGTACCTCTGCCACGTCGACGGATAAAAAGGAGGCGTCCGCGTCGGCACACGAGTCTCACAGCGCGCCAAGCGCGGCACGGGAAAGGACGACGACGACGAGAACACCAATAAAAGATATTGGATATCCGGTGCAAGGTGAAGGAAGAGGTGCAAAATGGTAAGCCTTGCAGCCTCAACATGCTCCCATTTTAGTTCCAGGTGGAGCTTACCAAAATTGCCAGGTGCACAAACAGCACTCAGCACTTAAACTAATTGATGTTTAGTAGTGCATGCAAGCGCAAGCAATGGTGGTCTTGCGAGCACTGTCGCTGGTCAGGATGCTGCTTTGGCCCCACAGACGCCATGTGCGGTGACCCGGAGGGTTCAATGATCACCACCACGACTGTGCTGTGGGTTTAGAAGATCGATCACACAACCCGAGACTCATGGACTCCCCCTATATTGTGATGGTGCGATATACGGTGTGACGAATGAATCTCGAGCAAAACTCATCCTCCTCCCATCTACGGGTGTGACCATGGGGACCTTGGTGGACCACAAGTAAAGAAAATGGACTACGAGACGTGGTCAACCAACGAGCTCGATTCGACTGGATTTGCCGTCCGAACTCGGGGCTGGCGCAAGCAAGCCGAGCGACCTGGGCAGAGCGACTGGTCCAGCGAGCCGTTCAACCGTGACAAACCAAAAGTTGAAGCAAATGGTGGAGAGCGACCGATTTGCTTGTGGACTTCTGACCAGAAGGGCTTTGCCTGTGGCACTTGAATTTGTGCTGGTGGCCAGTGGCTCTAAGGTAAATGCATTCTCCTTTGAATTTCAGCAGTCTTGTTGTAAAATGACCATCAATGCCATCAACATGTCATATAAGCATATATAAGACAATAGTCCATTGAATTCCTTTACCTCCCTGCCCACAAGAGAATGATCTCCTTAATAAGTGATGGGAAATGCAGGAGATTGGGGGGAAATCTCTGGAGGGCCAGATGCTTGGGGTTGGACGAACACGATCGGCCGAGCGATTGGCGCAACCAACCCCAAGAGAACCAGTCAGTGTTTGACTAGTCACTAGTCAAAACAATGTCAAACCTCCAATCTATATCAATTTATGATTTCGGTTTATGTGAACCTGCGGGCATCGGGGTTTAGACGGGTCAGTGAACAGGTTCTTGATTCCCGCCAGTTGATACAGTCATCCGATGAAAGGGATTGGGTTCGGTTCTGAGCGGACCATTCATACACAAACCCGTTTGCTTTGAAGTCCGACGTGAACCTGACTGCAAATGAGGAGCTCTCTACCCCAGACACCCCAGACTAAGTTTATAAATCCTTTGCAGCACGCCCAAGAGGGATTGCGACATCCCAGGCTAGGGGCTATAGTGGCTAGTTCTTCAAGCCTCCCGCCGCGCCACTTCTTGCTGTTTCTGATCTGAACCCGTTCTTGTGAGTTTGGTGTGTGCCTGCTGTGTAGATGGTTACAACGTGGTACAGCCATCAAGGGACTCACTTGACTGGCATTGACCTAGTGTTCAACAGACATGTCCCACGTGTCTGTCAACTGCCTTCTTTCTGGGTGACCTCTGCGAGCCCCTTGCTCAACTAAGTGGTCGACAAGACCAAAAGCTGCCAGAACCCATTTCGCCGTCTTCCTTTCTTCCCAAGCACCCGGCACCACCCCACGTTGGTTTCGTGCGACCCTGCCAATGTTCCGACGCTGGAGGAAAGAGCCAGAGCCAGTCTTTTTTAAACGTCTCTTAGCCCGGCCCTGTCAGGTCAGAGCTGTACCGTTTTGATGTTCACTTCTACCTTGCTTCTTCCTAAGGTAAAGATGCTGGGCATGCTGCTGATTTGATCTCTCAAGCTTTTCATTGAGATACCCAAGGCCTGAATCGAGCCAGTGAATCACCCCTTCCGCATGACGGATGAGATTCTCATGTGATGGACATTCAGACGGCCCTGTTCACCAACACAGACGGTCACAAGCTCAATGGACATTGTTTTAATCACGTCACTTCGAAATGCCAGGAAATCCAGGACAGGAGCAACATCATGCATGATGCCATTCATGTATAATCATGGCTGAAGAACCATCATTTTTTTCGCCGGGCTGACTGTATCTCAATGGCAGTTGGCCACTGGAGCTTTCTGTATTTGGTGGCCTCCGATTTTGAGATTTTCAACGAGCTGATCGTTTCTGGTTGGAAAGGAGTGGCCTTCGGAGAAACGATAGATTTGTCACTATACCAATGACTGGCGTGTGTTTGTAACTCTTATGTTTTTGCGAACTGGTTTTAATTTTCTTAAAGGAGCTTTCCAACCTGGCTTCGTATTCTATTCGTAGCTTCAATTAACAGGGCTTCTCGGCATGCCCACTTGAGGTTTGTTGAACTCTCCAGCACAGGGACAATTTTAGTTTTCACATCGGGCGAACGGGAACTCTTTTTGTTGACCCAAGTTTTACTAAACTTGTGATCTAACCTCACCTTGCAGTTTCCGTTAGTTAGTAAAACCTCACCTTGTTAGATGAGGTCCCACAGTTTCATGATGCCTTCTCATCTAACCTCACCTTGCATGACGCGACGACGCGACGCGTCGATCTCCCGGACCACTGTCGTTCGTGTGACGTCTCTCCGCCCGGGGTGCGGAGTGACAGTGCAGAAAAGCGGCGTACGAGAATCTTCAGGGGTGGTTCAAAGTTTGATGGACCTTAGGGGGAACAACATCTGATGTTGATGGGACCATTGGGTATACTTCTCACTCAGTGATTGGGGGGGGGGTATACTTCTAAATCGCGCACGTGGATGGGCTGGTCTTCGATCTGCAAGGCCTTTCGTTCATCAGTAGAGTACTAATTTTGGATTGCTGTGAATCTGGGGTCCGTCGCAAATAAGAGATGCCCACTGAAGGTGCGAGCCTGCAAAGCATTGGAGTCTTTCGAGGATAGAATGGTTTGAGGAAGTGAGTAAACCTATGGTTTTGGAAGTGCTGAAAGGCACTTGTTCCTAGTAGCGATGCACTTGTTTCTAATAGCTTCTTGTTACTACTAGTAAGGCACTTGTTCCTAGTAGCGATGCACTATGCTGGTTTTGGAAGTGCTGAAAGGCCAAGGCATTAGTTTATAGGATTTTTGCTCCCTTCAATTACCCCAAATGATCATGAACATTTGCCTCCGTGGAGCGTTTCGCGTGGTGGCTGCCTTTATCTTTTTTCGCCCCAAATTGGCAGAATGCTGGCAGTGTGCATCAGTTGGCCTTGTACTGTATATTTGGGTCAAAACATGTAGCAGGACAGTGGAGCAGGACAGTGGATTTACCTGGACCAAAGCCACTGCAGCTCAAACACAGGTGCAATCACTTCGCTCCGTGCTTTCAAAATCAAAATTGGCTAGGGCATGCTACCTTTGTGCCTTGTCCTACAGGGGGGTTTGGTCCTAGGGGTTGGACTTTCCGGACTAACAAAGGGCATCGCTACTAGAGTAGCTAGAAGCTACTAGTAGCTCCTGGCATTACTACGAGGAACAGGAAGCTACTAGTCACAAAGGGCATCGCTACTAGTAATGCCCGAAAGGAGATCCCACTCAATAGGCGTTTGTGGTCGCCCGTTTTCGACGAAGGGCCCTTCGGGCCGCGCATTTGGGGGCCTCCGTTCCGGGTGATTGACCGGAAGAAACAACGACAGGTTGGTGTCTTGCAATGTGTCTTCCAAGCGTTACCGTTGGCGTGTCCACCGTCAACTGCAGTGACATCAAGCGCTTCCACTCAACTTTTGATGCAAAAACCTACATCCTACAATCTTTCACAGCTTTCCACAGCTTAACCCGTCTCTGTGCGGGTTTCTTTTGCCCATCTCTGCTATTCCATGGAGCTGGACGAGGAATATGGCCTAGAGGACCATCCGATGCGCGAGAAAGGTCTCCCCGCTTGGGTGACGGGGATCAGGAAGGTCTCAGACCAAGACCCTTGTTTTGGTCAAAGAGCCTCTGATGTAGTCTCTTGATGAATAACTCCCCCACATTGAGATTAAACATGCCTCTTCATATGGGGTGCTATTTTTCTCAAGAGTCTACATTCGGCTTCTTCATGGAATGGTCTGCCCACTATTTTCTTCGGCCAAGCTGGGCGGTCGCGATCGACAGGTTGCTGGGACCGGGTCGCGATCGACAGGTTGGCAGGCGCCTTTCTATCTGCATGACTTTGGAGAGCCCATTTGGATGGCCAGTTTTTGGGAGCGAGCGAAGAAAGACGCTCCATGTAAACTTGGGATGAAACGCTTCCGTATCACTCGATCGCTTCATCGAAACTCCGATCCTTCGTCTGGACCGCATCGGAGTGACCATTCGTTTGGGCGCTGAGTCCACGTTTCTCCTGTTGAGATGTTTATTTTCGGATCTGAACATAGGCATTGTTCGAGGTGTGGCTCCAAGCATCCTACCGAGATGAGTGTTATGTGGATGATTCAGAGCTCATGTTTGGAGGGATAGAACTTCATGGCATGTGTTTCGTCGTTGACTTTATGACATGGCCATGATTATAGTTAAATACACATACCATGGTATTTCGATCGACCTTGGCCAAGAGGTGTGTTCGATCGACCTGGTCGCCAGGATTTCGGCCTGTCGGAAGAGGTCAAGTCAGAGGGGGAGGACGGTCCAAGACGGCCAGTGACGGTCAGTGGCGCTTTTGGATCAA